CTAATATATATAGCTTATGAAAAGTGTACATATTTTGCTAAAGTAGATTGAAAAGATAATCATGATTTAAATACATTTTGCTTCATAAAAGTCTTGAACATTGAAGTTTGGACTTGGCTATAGTTTCCATTAATTATAGAAGAAAAATTAAGTTATCTGAACATTTTATTAATTGGCAAACAACCATTAATTGCTAATTCTATTAGTTGATAGTTTCTCATGATGGAATTATGTCGATTACTTACACAAATACAATTAATATTAGTTCAATAAATTATATCGGAATATTCAACACAGATTACAATTTTTAAAAAATCGAACCGAACATTGACCCCGACAACCCTACTGGTTCAAAATTGGACCAGTTCAACCGGGGTTCAACCAGGTTTTTTGATTTTATAATCATATATATTTCATTTTTTATAACAAATAAAACCTACTAATTTCTTTCGCACACAATAATTTCATTACTCTCTGAAAACATAAATCAAGCCTACTTTTCTTTTATGCTACACCCGGCTATAATATCTAAGATCTACAATTTCTATGATTGTTTGTGTTTTCGCAGATGAGATAATTTTACGGAGCTGAATATATATAATATTACGAGTAGTTTTGATATTGATACTGATACGAAGTTATTAATATTCGTCATTTCAAAAGTTACATATAATTTGATTGAAATAATACGAAACGATTCTTCTTAGGCAAAGAGTTGGAAATGACGAGAAGAACACTACAAAGGCATTCGAACCTATCGTTCCCTTCTTTAAGATCGGCTGGTTCTGCAGATAGAGGCGGCTTTCCAAAGCTCGCTCGACAAATAGATGGCTTCTCCAATGCAGATCCAATCAAATTCACCATGTATCTAAAATTATTCTCCCTCATCATTCTATTTGCTTCCTTAAGGAAAAATACGACTTGCGAGTAATCTGCATCACACAATTTATATTTTTCCTTTCTGGCTATATCGTTCGTTTTCGGACTTGATATAGCTATAGTTTTTTTGGTTGCGTGAGCAGCGGATGTGGTCAACTCCATACAGATTTTCCAAAGCTCGAGTCGAGAAGACGCGTTTCTAGCTCTACGATTCGAATATAGAATCCGTGAACACATCTCCGGGTTTCTCGATTTCTTGCACACCTGAGAGATCAATGTACTAGCGTTGTTTGATTTTTCTGCATTGATCTTTAACAATGTTGTGCTCGTAATAATGACCAAAGAGAGTATGAAAATCGTTGCCGCGTACGGCATTTTCATTTTGATTTCGATTTCGATTTCGATTTCAGCTCTCTTATATTTTTTTTGTAAGCTTTTGAGTGCTAGAGATTTGGAAAATTGTCATTATAAGTTTATACCGAATTTGTTAAATGTCAAGTGTAGACTGTAGAGACATGATATACATTTATTGAATATTAATGGAGAAAAGGGGATTTGATTTGATCACTAATTGGTTCTTTATTGTTTCTTTCCACAGGTATAACTTTTTCTTTTTGTTAAATACCATATAATTCATCACATTAAAAGGAATTGTATTAATTATTTCTTATTAATTAATATAAAAAACAAAAAAACAAAAATGTATGATATTATTCTATAGTCTCTACTAGATCAAGAAATTGTATTATTTCTGATTAATTAATGTTGCATTTCACGCAAAAGGATATCCTCGTACACAAGGTACAACACTGTTTTGCTTGCCTGTAAACGTGGCATTAGCGAAATCGATTGAGGGTGGTTGTACCTGCTTTGTACGGAGGCTTCACGAACTCGAAACAATACGTTGAATCGTTTGTCTTTGAGCAGATATTGCTGATTAGATCATCTGATGAAAGATATGTTAAATACTGAAACAAAATTTGAACAAGAGAAACAAGTAAATTATTATATGAAAGGGGCCATTTTTTTTGCTGCAATATAATATAATGAGCTTATTGCATTTGTTACCTCTGGTAAAATCGCAACTCCGTGTTTTCCCCTTATCATAAAAAAATTAGTAAAAATGTTCCTGTACTTATTTTTATATAGCATACTCGACCCATTTAATTTTTCCCTATCGACCGGTTGTAAAAGTACCAAAGTACCCTGGGGGTTTCTGCAAAAAACAAGGGGACCAAATTGAAGTTGTGAAAAAATTAATCAAATAAGTCAGAGGACTGAATTGAAATGTGTTTTTTGGCCAAAAAGTTTTTATTCCGTTAAATACTTTTGAAAGTAAAAGGGGGCCTCGTGAAAAACCTTGTGGGGCCATACAAGAAAAAGAGTACTCGTACAAATGAAAAATAACAACAACCGTACAAGCAAAGTCATTTCTCTCTCTAAATTCCATAAATATATATTAATTTGCATGAGTTTAATTTGTGAATTAATTCGTTGTGCTAAATAACTTGAAATAAAAAAATATTATCTAAAACAATAAATATTTTAGTACGAGATGAGTATTATATATGATGACTCATAAGCAATAATTGAACACGTATGTATGCTTTTCACAAATTTAAGCACAACACGAAATGGAGTTTGGCACAATTTGCACACACAATGAAGAAAACTTTTTTTGCCAAACCCTAAAAGGGAAATTAAAATATATCAAACAAAACCACTAATTTGTTTATCGTCACGTTGATATTTAATACATTGAACGTAACGAGTTCAAAAATTGGAATATGCTTTTCCTTCCGAATTTTTAAGGTTTATTATTAGTGAGCCCTCCAAAAAAAATTTCTCCCTCTATTCGTATTCTCTCTATAATTTTATCCAAGTCACTTAAATTCATTAATTTTTTACGTGAATAACATAAAAAATGAGTTTAGTTTGATTTAATATTTATTCAATTTTATTAAGTCTTCTTAATTATTCAAATTCATATCAATTCGAATTTTTTCCTCAAATTTCAACTTTATTTTAGTTTGAACATGTGAAGATTTTTCTCAAATTCAAACTTGGAATGGTAGGAACGTTTTTAGCGTGTGATTTTGTGAAAAAAATTATGGAAAAAGAAGAGTGGAGAAGGAGAAGAGAAGATTTTAAAGAGAGAAATATTTTCAGTTGTGTGCAGGATTTAGTAAAATTAGTATGAGATTTAGCATTTCAGGATTAGAAATGATATACTTATTAAGGGCGCGTTCGGTTACCTATATTGGATTAGACTGTATTACATGAGATTGGATTACCTCCCTATTGACTAATTATTTTTTTAGTTAGCAGCATGTTCGGTTTCTTAGATTAGATTTTCTATTAAATTTGTTAAAATCAGTTATATATATGAATTGTCTATAAAACCACTTAGTTTACAATAATAAAATATAATTTTAAGGATAAAATTGTATTTTCCTTTTTAGTCACCCCCTAAAATTAATCTCAGGGGGAGGGGTGCTACTAATTTAATGAAATAGTAGCATTTAGTAGCGGACTTTGAATTTAGTAACAGATTTGAAAAAGTGTGAATCTTAGCAACCGGACATGTTATTAGCCCCTACTATTTAGTCAGTAGAACCTTATAGCGGTAACCGAACGAGCCCTTATATTACTCCTAATTATAACCACAACTCCAGCATTTTCTGACTCAGTCACCTATTCTCTCTCTCATTAATCATGTTTTATTTATTTATTTTCTCTTTTTTTTTTCCTTCTTTCTCTTCTCACAAGCTGTCGGCATCTCTACCCATCCATCTCTACCTGATGCCAACGCCATCTGCCTTGCCACCGCCAGAAGTCGCTCCGTATCGGTTCGATGACGAAAAAATCTCAAACATAAAGTTATCCTCTTATTTTTTTCGTGATTTGAGTGATGATATGAATGTTTATTGTTAATCTAGCTAGATCTGTTGATTGACAATAATCTCATTTTGATTTCAGAGAGAAGATTGACCATTTGCTTCAAATCTTGAAATTTTCCTTTCTTTCTTTTTTTCATTTTTTTTAGATTCTCTACATTAGGGTTTTGCTGGAGCATATGATGTTTTTTGGTTGTTTCTCTACAACAATATAGTTGTTTAAGTTACTTTTTAATTGCTTTCAGGTTCTGCTATTTGTTTTAATTGCTTTAATAAATAGTTGACTTCATAAATAGTTAATTTTTGATAAATGAGAGTTGGTGGATATGCGTTGATTAAATAACTAACTAATTTTACAATCAAGATAATATATTTAATATATAGTTGATTTAATAAATAGTGAAATTGATGTATACATGTTTTAACACTCTTTGTTTTAATAATAATTGTTTGATACAATAATGATAATATATTTAATATATAGTTGATTTAATTAATACTGAAATTGGTGTTTTCATGTTTTAACACTACTTGTTTTAATAATAATTGTTTTATTGAAATATATAGTTTTACCTACTCGTAAAGAATCTTGATTTCTTTATTTATGCATTATAATCGATAAAGTTTTATAATTTTAAAACACATATTTACGATATCACAAGTAGCTCTAGAATAATTATTTAAAATCTTTCTAAATTGAAAAAAGTGAAGTAACACCACATAAAATAAAAATTGAAAAGGAGAAAGGGATAATAATAATCCAAATCAAATCAACCAAGAGAAGAGATAAGCCTACTAAAACCATATCTTCATTTTTCATCACACAATGCCGCCATATACAAAAATAGCACTGAAATAATAATATAAAATATAATATAATTGGTGCCAAGTGGTTGCAAATAATAAGCCAGCGTTCCGTACTAGATTGAATTATTGCTCAAATATTGGACAACATTTTTCATGATGCCATGCAAAATAAAATAATGAATTTCACTTTGCCCCCTTAAATATATATGGTTTAACCTTTGCTCCATCAATTTACATTGCCCCCCGCCCCCCCACCCCCCAGCAAAAAAATAGTTTATTTCTAAGTTTGTTACTGAAAGCTGAATGAAAAATATATTATTTAAAATAAAAAAAACTCTTATTTTTCTTAGTGGAATTAATTGCAAATTAAGGGTGATAAAATCTTACAAAGATATAGTTGAGGGGGTGAAGTGGAATTCACGATAAATAGAAGCCTCAAAAGTAAAAAAAATATTTCAAGAAACAAAATGCATGCATGATTTGCAACCACATGACAATGACTAATGTACCCCTCAAAGTATATCTGAAAGAAAAAGGTAGCTGCTTTTTCTTTTGCAAAATTTATCATCAAACTTTTTGTAATTAATCAGAGTTTTGGGTAAGATTTAAACTGTTGTCCAAAGTGCCCCAATTATTTCAATATAAATAGAAGAATAACCACTCATTATTTTCCACAACTTAGTAATATTTCCTAATTTTCAAAAAATCCAAATTTACAATTTCCAAAGTAAATACTTAGCTGAAGATATATGGCAGGTTTATCAGGACAATGGGCTTTTGCATTTGGACTACTTGGTAAAACCTACTCTTATATATATATATATATATATATATATATATATATATATATATATATATATATATATATATATATATATATATGCTTAGATCATAAAATCAAACATTAAATTATATTCCATCATTTGAGTACTCATTGAGCATTACTTTTTTTTTTTCCAATTATTTTTACGACAAATATCGTAATCGATGACATTTGCCAATTATTAGTTTTAATTAAAAAAACAAAAAGTGATACGATACAATCGACAAGGGCACCACATGAATATATATTAACGACTTATTTTATTTTATATTTTAAATAATTTTGCAGGAAATATCGTCTCATTCATGGTGTACCTAGCTCCAATGTAAGAAATGTTATTTTTTTTTTCCGAACCTATTTAATTACATGTACGCACGTTGTGAATAATAATAATAATTTTGCTTGCATGTAGACCAACTTTTCGTCAGATATACAAGAAAAAAACAAGTGAAGGATTTCAATCGATTCCATACGTTGTTGCTCTATTCAGTGCCATGCTGTGGATATACTATGCATTTCTCAAGTCCAATACCACCCTTCTCATCACTATAAATTCCGTTGGATGTTTAATCGAGACCGTTTACATTCTACTCTTTATTTTCTACGCGTCAAAGAAGGCAAGGGTACGACGTAAAATAATTTATTTTTTGTATGAAATTTAATTATTTTCACTTTGCATGGATTATTTAATTTGTAGTATAATTAAATATATATCGCGATGTTGATGATAAAAAAATGCAGGTACAAACGGTGAAGCTACTCGTTTTGCTTATGGTTTGTGGAATGGGATTGGTCGGTGTCACTCAGTTCGTTGTGAAAGCGTCTGAACGTGCAAACGTTGTTGGATGGTTTTGTCTGATTTTATCTTTGTGCGTCTTCATTGCGCCTTTATGCATTGTGGTAATTATCCGTACGAAAAATAAACCTATATATAAATATTTATTTTTTTTAAAAAAAAAATTGCACCTTTATACGTGAATAGTTTATTATTTAGGGCTTACTAATTTTTTTGCAGAGACAAGTGATACAAACGAAGAGCGTCGAACATATGCCGTTCCTTCTTTCGTTATTCCTTACACTTAGTGCCATTATGTGGTTTTTCTACGGCCTATTGCTCAAAGATCATAACATTGCCGTAAGTACATTTATTCCATATATATATATATATATATATATATA